TGGCTCGACAAGCTAGTGTTCGCCATTCACGGACAGAGATGCTACTTGAGCAAATCGCAGCCTCTTACCACACAAAATTGGCAAGTCCTACACTGATGGGGATTGAGTCAAGTTTTGCCAGATAGATTGATAAAGGACGATTGGGCTTTAATACACCTCCAACTGATGATGAGGAAGCATTTTGGACATTCAGCTACAAGCCAACGCCATCCGGAATGAGGTTGTTTTTGATGCCTTTATTACTCAATTTTCGGCAACATCTTACACAGCTCTAGTCTTGTCTTCGTCAATAGCTAGAGATATCAGTGGTCATCTCATTCTACATTTTTGACTAAGAGTGCCGATTTTGCGACTCACTGCGGAATGTATCGTGCCAATGCAGTTCCAGATGATGGGGTTTCACGTCCGTTTTGGAGTAGCAGAAGAAGACTTGTTTGACGGCATCATTTTGTTCGAAAGTAAGCTCAGTATTACTGAGGCTGCGTTAGGTCAAGTGGAACGATATACTCAGAATGTTTGCCCGAGGCATCAGCAAGCGCTATTCTCTTTGATCGCCGCTCCTTCTGGCTAATTTAGAAATTCTATAATTTTTAAAATCCAAGAAACAATGTGAGCCAACAAGGAATCGAAGTCATTGTTTATAAACTTTAAATGGGGGACGCGCCTATCCCTTTCCTGCCACTATTTGGGCGTTGATGTGATAGAGGGTGACGCATTTCTCGGTCATGGCGCTCGTGGACGCGTATTAGGGTCATTAGGCAAGATGGCAAAGTTTTCGCGTTAAAATCGTGGAGAAATAATCGGTGGAACGTCTTTATCAAGAGGAAAGGGCCTTGAGAATTGCCAGCAGTCAGGCTTGACGGCTAGTCCTGTGGGAAAGATCATTGAAACCCCTGAAGGTGCGGCATTTTTGTTGTCACCTGTGGGGAAACCTCTGCCTCGACCAACAACACGACCTGAAGTACTAAGCCTTTTTAAATTATCGAGGCAACTACACAAGAATGGTCTGGTCCATGGAGATCCTCGCGTGCCGAATGTAATTCTTGACGGAGAAAAGCTTCTCTGGATTGATCTTGTAAAAGTAATGGAAGCAAGCCCAACTTTGAAACAAATTGATGCTGGTATTCTCACACGATCCATCCTCAGTGTTTCTCTGACCACTATGCTGGACCCGGTGCTGATGAAGTCAATTGACTAGTTTGGCATGAGCAACACATCAGAAAGTCTTAATTATCTTGCTGAAG